CAGAATTTATTTATATATTCCTATTCAAGGAGCAGTCTTTATTTAAACCTCAAATTACTTTTTCAAACTCCCACGCAGATATGTATTTTAAAAACCTAAGACCACAGCATTACTTCTTTAACAGTTTTCTAATTAGATTCATATTTTTGTTATTAAAGTGATATTTATAATTTTGTCAGTTACACAATAAAAAATGTGCAATGCTAATACAGCAGACCAAAAATGTTATGAAGTTTTGAAGTTTTATCTCAACAGTATTCTAAAAGTACTGACAACAAAGATCTAAGGATAATAAAAAAATAAATACTACATACTGAATGTTTCATTTATCTAGTTACTATTAGGGTGAGCATATAACACATGAAAAATAGATAGGCAAAGATCTGAGTTTGCTTTTTGTTTACCATCCTAAAATAGTATTTAATTCCTGATACAGTCTTGATGGACCCAGTTACAAGACATTACTCACACTAATATTACTGAGTATTCCCCTCTCATTCTGCATTCTGTTTAAAATGTTACTGACTTATGGTTGGACTCAATGATCTTCCAACCTAAAGCATTCTAAATATTCATGTATTTTATGTAGAAGGTTTCAGACAGTCTGGGTTTCAATGTTCTTGAGAGCATCTGACAGCCTGCAGCCCCAGATGTGCCCTGGTAAGTTGCTGACCACCTACTGGCTGACAAGTCACATGTGCCATTCAGTCTTCTAAATGTCTAGGAAACAGCCCCTATCTCCTGGAAGAGGGAGCAGACTATTGCAAGCAAATGTGCTCCTGCCAGATTGCCCATCAAGAATGTGTCTATGCTCTATCTGGTCAGCCAGACATGTAGGAGTATGCATAGTCTAGCTGGCAATCTGCTCACCAGCAAATGTGCTCTCAGCCTGGTTTCAAAGAATGTACTCTTTTCAAGGGCACGGGGGGTCTATCAGTGCACGTGTTCTGCCAGTGCCGTTGAGATCCTTACTCCTCCTCAGCTTTGGGCACAGGCAGCAGCACAGAGAACGGGGTGGGGAGGCAGGGCACTGGAAAAACGGATGCCTTTTATCACTGCCTTTAGGACACTGGATGACATGGCAGTGTTAAGCACTACAGATTTGGCATATAGTAGACCTACTTCTTCTTGGATTTTTTTTTTAAAATTATCACTACTGAAAGAAGTTTAGACAGAAGACAATGACATCGTTTGTGTCTTGTATGTTTGTAATGACAGTTATACTTTTGCTTCTGAACAGAGTATGAATGATCATGGGGAGAATCATCCAGCACCATATTCAGCAAGGCTGTAAATATGGATACCAAAAATACCACTAGGCTGCAGATTACTGTAATATTAATTATGTCTCTGCAAAAGTATTTACACTCACTTTTACAGGTAGTGCATATTCTCCATTAAAAAAAAAAAAAAAGAAGAAGAAAAAAAAAAGGGAACCGGCTGAATTGCCTGCTGAGACCTTACATGGGCCACAGTAACCAGAAACTTCTAATACCCGACCTTCATTCAAATGGCTCTGCTTCAGCAACCCTATTTAATTTCAGAACTTCACTTTATCTCTTTATCCTTACACTTTATCTAGCATTGTGGTGACTCCTTTCATATCCTATGTCATGGCTGAACAATTCAACGGCAAGTAAATTCCTCACGTTTCTCTTCCACAGCCTTCAGCACTAAATGCTGATTGATACTTTGTAGAGCTCACTAAGAAGATGTTTACATTTTTCCTTCAACACCATCACCAAGGAAAGGCAGTGAAACGGGCTGCTGGAAAAGGCACTCCATGTCTGTTCCAAGCATGCTCTCAGCTCTGGCAAAGTGCTCCAGCTGGTATCTCTAACTGTTCAATGCACCTAATTCTGAATACATTTGGAGTGTTTGTAAGCTCTTCACTGCTAAAACCAACTCGAGGGTGCACAGCTAAAACTGCCCTGGTTTATGTCTTAAATCTGTATTTCTCCTTCTCCTGCAGCTAAGACTGAGGATATATTTTAGTTTTGAATTTGCAGATGTTTGCTGAAATTGATATTCAGTAAGCAAACAAGAATTAGGTCGCCCAGAGGTAACATATTTCCCCACCTCCCTCTCAAATAAGAGAGCTATATTTTGTAACGTGAGGTGTATGACTACAAAGTTTATGTTTTGGGTATACATATTATAGTCTCAGTAAAACTTCATCCCAAAAACCTGTCATAGGCCGCAGGCTGTAAAAATTCTATTTATTATAATGTTAGCTAGATTCATATAAACAAAAACCCAGTATACATGCAGAACATGCACATTCATATCTGTTATCAAATATCCATTATCCTATGTAGATTTCAGACCACACATATCACCACAACTCAGGGCATAGATAAATATTTAATTAATTAAATACAACGTTCATACAAGCATTTGCCTCAGAAGAGGGAGAACTAACACTGTTCACTGCAAGTTCCTTCCTTTTGGACTAGAACTTGAAATATACATGATGTGCATGGTGGCAGCAGAGTGGCTCGTGTTTAGTTGCCACAATCCAGCATATTCATTACATGCTGACTGTATAATTTAAAGATATTTCCACATTGCTAATCCCATAACATACAATGGAGGGACAAAAGGTGACTTTCCCACCACATTCTGAATTGCTACAAATATCTACCACAATATTTAATTCCTTGAGTAAGGCAATGTGGGCAGAAACTGCTGGTTACAGATTAAGTTTACAACATCAAAATTTCAACAACTTCTCTACTCAGGGAACATTAATAATGGTGTATCCCATTGGAAGGTATTAGGTATCTTTAAAATAGTTAAGTGATTTGGTTTCTTTTAATTACTTCCTGCCAATATCCATAATTTTCTCTGAATGTCCAAAATTAACTTAAAATTCAATACAAAATTGCTATTGTTTTTATATCATCAAAAAGGGAAGATTAATGGCATATTTTAGTAATCTAGTAATAAGTGGGTTTTTTCATTGTTCAAGCTACATGCAATCCTCAGTGGATCTTAGATGTACATTAGAAAGGTATTTAATGCCTATTTTTCAGTTGCCAAGGTCAAACATCACCTAGTATGTATAGAGAAAGAGGAAACATCTGTTGGAATAATTTATTTGACTAACACAGAGGTTAGGATTAAAACCCACTAATTTCTTTGGTCCGATACTGAATTTCAATTAAACAATGCAGGTATTTGTTCAGTTTGAAAAAAATTCCTTCCTTTACTTGTGAGCACATTCATGTATATCCCTAATTAGTGGATCTGGCAAGGGAATACTATGATTTGTCATTTTTTCATATCTGCATAAGCTTTGAGAATGAATATTTCTATTTTTTGAGGTTTTGGGCGTTTTTTTTCCCAATATATGTTCTAAAGAATTCACAAAACTTTAAAACTCTGGTTTCTATGGAATTCCTCTACTAAGAAGATTAGAATACATCTCAGGATCAGTGATTACATGTGAAATTGTAAGGTACAGCAACCTTCAGCATCTAAGATAAAAGTCCCATTTAGAAGTTTTTAGAAAATATTAAATGCATGTCATCTGACTGCAGTTTCTTCTAACCTTTCTGTGAAATCAGACTAAAATCTTCTAGATTAACAGTAAAAAAAATCACTTAAATTGTTTAATTTACAAATGTAAATTAATAAAAATATAGACATTTTATTTCAATCAAGTAAGGAAGGTGCTCTCTTTGCCTTTCTAGGGTCAAAAGGGATTTCAACAGAGCCATGATTGCATTCCAGATTTTTAATACTGAGAAAATATTTGCCAAGCAAAGAAGTTCAACAACTGGACAGCTTTTTACCATTGTAAAGCAGAATGCTTTGTCTCGAAGGGAATAGCAGAAGGTCTTACAGAAGAAAAGATATTGTACATGCATGTTCCATTCTTTTTTTAGGGCTAAGGGGAATGGTAAATGCAAAACACAGTTTTACTCAGCCTGGCCCAAAAGACAGGATGCTAATAGAGATGACATGCAAGGTGACAGAACACTGAGCATGTGGACAAACCCATCTTACAATAGAATTTTTAAAATCCCAACATTTATATGGCATGAGTATTAGTCTGTATCCCTTTAAATTTCAGAAGCCTGAGTTATTCACTGGAAAATAATAGTTTAAAACTAACAATATTAGTTTTTATAATAATGAGTACATTGTTCCTGCGGTTCTTTTTTTTAACTGCTCCACTTCTTTGTGCTGAGAAAGAAAAAAAGGGAAAAAAGTTCAATAATGGGTACATATATGACAAATTCAGTTTCTCTTTTAGACCAGAATATATGCCATATGATAAATAGAAATTATTATTTGAAAGAGAGCAGCTTTGTGACTTGCAATTCTTCTTCCCTTCTCAACAAAAAGGCAGCTATTTTTAATCAGAACAAATAATCAGAATAAACAATGCTCATAGAATGGAAAGTGGTAAGGTGCCAAAAATAAAATAGCATTAAATGTTGCTCAGTTAAATTGTCAAACATACTAATAAATTCTAACTTGAATGTAAAATAGAATACTACATTTACTAATTTAATTACAAAAAAACCACCCATGCCAGTTATTTATTTTATCGACAGCATTGTATAAATTATGTAGGTTTTTTTGTTCAGCTGATAAGTAATAAAACTATTAGGATAAAAATAACATTAAAAATCTTGCAGGAGTGATATTAGGTCCCAAATACTTAACTGTACTATTGCCACAGGTGAAACTGGACCATGGCTGTTAGAAGTAAACTGTAATGATGAAAACTAATTGTTTCTCCTCCAGATAATTCCATCCACAGCATCACCCTTCACCAATGGTCCTCACACCTTAACTTACTTCTGAGAATTAACTTCAACATTATTTTACCTTTGTGGAAAATGATTACAATAAAATGCATATGACAGAAACCAGTAACATTAAAGTTACTGCTATTAGCTAGTCCACTGATTTGTAACCAGAAACTGAAATATATTACCCTGTCTTTCAAAGAAATAAAGACAATAAATATAACATGGTTAAAAAAATTATTTCAGACAAGCAGCAACCAACTTAATTAAAAGGAAGTTGTTTGAGAAACACACCCGAGTTTACATCTGACTTCTTCTTTCACGGATTCTTGGCAGAGGTTTTCTTTCAACTTTCTGCTTGTGAGCCAAATCTAAAAAATCTGTGTTTTCTTTCACAGAGTGAGTGGGGTGAAAAGGAACTGTGACTAAAGCTGCTTCTAAGTCAGCTGCAGAAAAAAAAAAGAAAAAAAGGATTAATTCAATATCCCAATTCAAACCATACATATTCAGTGTGATTGATCACAAGGTTCCAATATATCTTGTTACAGAAAACAGTGTAATGAACCTTAAGGTATGATACCTCAAATTTGAGAATGGAAAACTTTTCCATTCCATTTTGAGAATGGAAAACTTTAAATGGAGTTATAGAAGGTGCTGCAAACACTGAGGAAGGTGAATATTAAAACAGGTATTCCCCTTCAGCTAAAGTTATTTGAAAGGGAATAAATTCAATTAGATAGCACTTCCTTATATCAGTAGTTTTTCAGATACCATTTACATGTGGCTTCCAAACAATGAGCAGACTCCAATTATTTTAGGGCTGGTGCTGGCAGGCAGAGCATCAGCCTTCATGTCTTCAAAAATCCTGTATTAATTCATCTTCTGAAAGCAGCAGTGTAAGTGCCCCCAATTTTATTTTATAAATATGGAAATTCAAACCATTTTTAATAATTTCAAGTTAAATGTGTGTATCCAAGTCCTGCAAGACAGCAAGACATGCTGTCAAGTCATTTATGTTTTAACCTGCAGTCAACCCCGTAACAACCACCACCTTCCCACCATTTAAAAAAAACAGCAGAGTTTATTTCAGGTTTTCCTTGAGTTTCAAAACTAATTTGTTTTCCCACTTGAAGAACAGGTTGCCTTTAAACCTCAAAAAGGGTTTAAGGCTTTTGTACCTCCCAGACATTTTTTTTCTTTCCAAGTTAAAACTTGGACTTCTGCTAGACATGCATCTTGCAAAGGCCTTTAAAGGACTGACAATATACAGAGATCAAAAAAGTATAAGCAAATAGATTTAAAAATCTGATATATTTTATGCATATTTATTTAGAATGCTTAATGTTTTTAAAATGTGAAAGTAAATGTGAATATTTACACAATCAAAATGCACTAGCTACCCCTTTCCATAATTCTGGGAGTTTGGGGTGTGAGGAAAAAAAAACTATATATGAACTAGTGCTAAAATTAAATTTTATATTTGAAAAGCTCAATTTCTACTCAAGTCTTTTGGACTCATCACTTCTACAAGTGTCCCATAAACAATTCTTTGTATATTTATTTTTAGCTGTAATTTTATGATTTCTGTAAGTTTTAAATAAGCATGAAATAATTGATTAGTTTGCTCACAAAATTCTACATGGGCTGCATGTTCATCAGTCATTCTTTCATTGCTATTTTTCCTAGCAGCTCTAGAGGCTTTCCAATTAATTAAGAAACGTCTTTCCATTTCTTGAATTTCTTTCCCATCCAGGGATTCTGCAAAAGAGAACATTCTCTGTGATACAAAGTGAACTAAAGGACTATACAAAGCTGTAGGTAATGTGTATTTGCTCTATATTTATTCTCTTCAAGTCTTTTTTTCTTTTTCTGGTATTTTGCTAAAGAAAAGAATACCCAATAAAGACTGATATTCACATTCAAGCTGCAAGAGAGAGTTAATATGTCTTAATTACAAAAAAAAATCTACAGTTTTTATAAATGTCAAAGGTAATATACATATTTCATGTTTGGTTAACATGCAAGACTTTCTAGAACATTCTGCAGAAAAGTTAAGCTCTTACACAGGGTATAGATAGATGCAGAAATCCAGGTGGAGAGGGAAACAGCACATCTTAGCAATCAAGGAATTCTATTGATCATGGAGACAGTCACACAGATTTGCCTCTCTAAGGTTAACTTTACTCACTTAGGTGCCATAAACCTTATGCTCTATGATTCACTGGTTGCACCTTCATTTTTGAGTCAGCCCAAATGAAATACCTCTTGTGGCCACAAATTCAGGTTGCATTAGTACTGTCCTAAGGCACTGTTATTTTCATTGTGCAGATAGGCTTTTTCTTTTTCTAAATGGCCAATATTTTGTGCTCTGAGAAAAACCAAGCTCTGCAATTATAGCTTTAAAAATAATTGCCACCTTTACCCAAAAAAAGGAAAAAAATTAGCATTTTTTTACTTATTTCTACAGTATAAATATTTAGATATAGAAGAATCAGTTTCTTCCTTTCATGCTAAAATTTTATGCACAATAATAATATAAACTGCACCATAAGGGTTAAGATTAACAAATACACTCACAACATAAGTGTGAACTGCTTATAAGTTTAAGGATGAACGTTATGTGGCAAATTCAAACACAGTACGGTGGGGATCTGCACAACTGGCACTGTACAACAAAAACTCTTTAGCAACTACTACAAATTAGGGGAGTAGATAAAACTGATCTTTGAAAATCCGTTTCACAACATCTGGAATATGAACACAAAAAACTGTGTTGTAACAATCTCACCAATCATCTATTATAAAACAAATTATTATTATGACTAATATCAAACAAGATGGCTTGTAAAGCTGATTACACAAGATTTAATTTTTAATTTTTTAATTAAAGAATTAAAGAAATAATTAAAAATTAAAAAAAATAATTAATGATAATTTAAAAATAAAAATAATTAAATATATAATTAAAGAAATAATTTAAATAATTATCTGAATAAAATAATTTTAAATTATTTTTAATTATTAAAAATTTTTTAAATTTATGTAGCTTTCTACATAAATTTAAAATTCATGTTAATAATTAAATATATAATTAAAGAAATAATTTAAATAGTTATCTGAATAAAATAATTTTAAATGATTTTTTAATCATTAAAATTTTTTTAAATTTATGTAGCTTTCTACATAAATTTAAAATTCATGTTTTGACATAAATATCTATAGCAGTAATTGTGTTTATATGCATAGTGCTACTCAAGAACAATTAATTTTTCAGTTGTTTCCTAAAAGAGTGGGGGTTATGGGTGGGCTATTGATTTAATTTTTTACCTAAAGTCAGTGACTGTACTATAATCCTATCCTTGTACTTTGGTTTTTGGCAGATGGGGTTTCCTGTTAGATCTATTCTGCGTAGCTTTGTCCATTTTTTTAACACAACCTCCAAATCCTGCAATTGAAACAACAACAGAACAATGTGATTGTGTTTCCCCCTCCAGAGTAAAATTCAACAGTAATGTGATTTGTTCAGCCAGGCCCAAATCCTGCACACAGAAATATCTTCAATGAGACTATTCACATGTATTATGCACATTAATAATGTGCATTTTCAAACAGACTGGTTCACAGCATCCCCTGAATATATCAAAATTGCACAGAAGAAACAGTGATGTTGGAAGATGCTGGATTTTTAAGGATACAGTAATGCCAGCTGTGGAAAAGTACCACTTCAATACCACTGATAAGAACCCAAAGCCTAGGAACTACCAATGAAAAAATTCGTATTATACACAATGTCTGTTAATGCACCTCCAAGGTCTCACAGAGCCCTTAAGAGTATCAGTGTGGGGAAGAATAAATGCTTTACACAGATAAAGTACAGAACAAAAAAAAAAAGCTAAAAATCATGCAATCCACAGTGGACTGCCTCTCTCTTTATGTATATGTAGAACTGTATTTTACATGAGAAACAGTAATCCCCCCTTACCTAACTGTGGGTGGTCAGTTACAGTATTGGCCCACACAGTGAAATTAGTGAAATATACTTTTCTCCATCTCTATTTCTGTCTGGTTACCCAGGGGCAGTATGACCTAGATGAAACTACTCTGTCTTTCAAATACAATAAATTCAAGTTGAAAACATGCAAAGTTTATCTGATTGGTCCTTTCTACTCAGACACCTTATTTTCTGAAACACTTTCTTTCCAAAATTTCATTTAACTTGCATTCTTGACAGGTTTTCCTTGTATGTGTGAAAAGCTTAAGGAGGGATTCAAGACATAGGTATAAATAGGAGAGAGGATTTATGTTCTACTGTTGTAATTATTTGGAAAACTCTACTGATCGTGCTGTGATGGATTCTAAACTGCAGAGTGTGTAAAATTTTGTAGCTTGATGCCAACAACGAAGTCTCTAACAATGTAGATATCTCTCAGCTCCTTCAAATTTAGAAAATTGCATGGGTAACACAAGCAGGGAGAATTCTGCTTTTGCTGACTCATCTCCCTCGGTAGAAAATCCTCTTTGAAATATTTTATCAGTTATGTAATACATGTTTAGAAAAATCATGTCGAAGAGAAAGTGGCAGCACAGCCACATACCTCCAAATCATATAAATTTTGGTCTATCTATGATGATGGTGATATCATCTTTTATTATTCAGTGATAAAAATGTATTTTTAGAAAACTAGAGAGCAAAAGTCTGGTTCTGTGAGGATCAAAATGGATAAAACAACACAAGAAACTCTGAGGACTAGTCCACATGAAGAAATGTTATTAATTCTCGTAATACTATTCAGCAAAGCTTAATCAGTAAGTATCAGGATAGAAACATGATAACCCCCATAGTTTAGGTGCTAACACTTAATCACAAACAAAATTCAGGGGCAAAACAGTTTAGGCTAGACTTACTAAAAAAAAAAATTTAGCAAGTATATTTATTTATCCTTACCTAAGCATTCTGATACTATAATTGAAGTCTATAATGTGTTCTAGATTTCATTAGAAAGAATTTTTCCAAGTAATAGTTTTGCAACACAAAGTTGTCTATTAGTGAAAGAAAATGTATACAGTTTAACTTTGATGAATGTATACAGAGTGCTGTAGATTTTATTTTAGGCTAGACTTACTAAAAAAATAATTTAACAAGTATATTTATTTATTCTTACCTAAGCATTCAGATTCTATAATTGAAGTCTATAATGTGTTCTAGATTTCATTAGAAAGAATTTTTCCAAGTAATAGTTTCGCAACACAAAGTTGTCTATTAGTGAAAGAAAATGTATACAGTTTAACTTTGATGAATGTATACAGAGTGCTGTAGATTTTTGTTAGCTGTTACTTACTTGATAAATGACCCTGAACATGCTTACTCCAGTGTATGTTTATCTAAGAGCACACTAATCCTGTGCTGAAATATGATTACCCTTTCGATACGCTCTAGTTGTTCATTGCCTTCCTGTCTCTAATAAAGTGCTTTCACTTCCCAGCCTTTCAATAAGCTGTACTAAAGGGACCAGACACTCTTCTGGGCAGGCTCCGTTTGATAAATGATCATGTCATGCTATCACTTTGAGGTCTGCTACAAAATACTGACGAGCAAATTATATTCCATTGGGGAGGGTGGGGAGGGGGAAGGGTAAGTGCCTGAGTAGGCAGCTGTAGTGCTGGCAATAACTTTCTTACCAATTAACAGTGGCCATTTAAGAATTGGTATTTGACCAGTATGCTCCAGTTTTTATTGGAAACGTCTAATCCAACTGCCCCAGCTATATCTACAGACAGCCATTTGTCACCAGTTTGATTACCTGTCATAATCTATTTGAGAAAATCTATAATTTTTCTCTTGTTCCTGACTCAATTCTAAAGTGAATGAATTCATCTTTTGTGATATCCTCTTGTCATAATCAATACTGGGCAGAGGTTGAATAAATTAAAGACTTGGGAAATACAGATTTTTCCAAGTATTTCTAGCTATATTTTTTTCTATCTATCCAAAGACTCACAACTCATAATATTTCCAAAACTAATGAACTTAATAAATAAATTATATTCTGGCTTTTTGTAAAAAGAAATAATTGTGGGTTTTTTTTAATAGACATAGTGTTTTAAAAAAATGTCCTTAATTCCAACCCAAATACACTGCGGTCTAGAAGACCTTGTGATCCCGACTAAAGCAAACCAAAACCTCAATACAATGAATAAATGAAGTAGCGAGCAATAGAAAACAAATAAAAGCCACTTCTATGAAAATCAATTGTATTCTTGATAACTGACCTGAGACATACTTTTTGCATGTGGTAGCTAGTCATAGTTATTTTGCATGAATTCAGAAAAATTACTTGATTTTCATCTGTCTACTGTTCAGACTGAATTATATAAACTTCAGTCGAATGAAACAAGGCCATATGCCTTGATATCTGTTAATTATGCTAACAAAGCCCTGTATTAGCCACGACCTTAAGTGCTTGAATTTATTGAATTTATTAGTCCTAATTTTCAACTATGCTGAAATCAAAGTGGCATAGATAAGAAAGTAAAGGAATATGGGTTTTCATAATAAAGTGAAAATGCTGAGAGAAATGTTTAAATATAAAATAATTATACACAAATGTGAGAAAAGTCTACATAAGATTGTATTTCATGCATTTCTTAAGCCCTTCATATTTTTCTCTTTCTCAAAGATTCCATGTTATTCCAGCAGTTCACCAGACCTGCTCAGACACAGGCAGCTCCTCTACAGCTTCTCTTCCCACCAGGTGAAGCACAGCTGGGTACAAAGCTCTCCAACACTTCCCTGTCATGCGGCACTGGCACAATCTCTGATCAATGCCAGACATTCATGGGGAAGTTCTTGATGGCAGTGATGGCAAAGCAAGAAAGGGAAAATGGGATGTAGTGCTTTTGGCATGAAAAAGAGGTATACATCAGAGTTTTGATAAGAGAGGGGCAAGAGGGAGGAGAAGGGAGGAAGTTCATGTGGGAATGAAAGAGCCTTTGCTGCATGTAACAAGTTCAGCCAGTAGAACCAATTAAGTGTATAAAACTGTATACCTCTAAAATCCTTGCAGTTTTCACAGCTGTAAAATAATGTATGCCATGTAATCATGAAATTCAAGGATGCAAAAAATATTGAAATATACTCAAAACTTCCCTCAGCTATTCTTTGAACAGTCAGCGGCTGTGTATGATTGTTCTCCTGCTAGATGTGCACTGTGAGCTAAAGCCTCTTACACAGAGTTAAAACAGACTTTTTCAAAAATACATTTCATGGCTTACTGCTTTTTTCAACAGTTTGTTTTTTATTTATTTAATAATTTATAATAGTGATAAGTAGAGCTTACCAAAATGTAATCCCTTAAAACTCAGTAATTGTAGCTGGAAAGTTGGATATCCACCTGCATTACACTGTATATTAAACACTTTTGATACGTTCATTAATTTTACAGGTCTGCAAAGATATGAATAGAAACACCTTCCCTGTTCCATATATTTCAAAACTTGGAGATTGTATAGAAAACACACAGAACAGTCACTTTCAAAGTATACTGGAGCTTAATATGAGTTTAATAGATAGCAAACTCAAATGTTAATTGTATCATTTTTCAACAGCTGTGACTGTATAACATAGAAATCTTCAGGTCTAACTGGTTTGGGTATATGTAACTCTGGATTTCCTGATGATTAAATAATGATATTTAATAAAGAATAAATAACATATACACAGTTACTGAATAATGCAGTCATTTTGTCCTCTCCTCATTCTGTTTCAGGGGATACTGGTTTTTCCTCTAAGATACTGAAAATTCTGTCTCCAAACTGGTATCCTCATTCTTAAAATTAATTGGTTCTTTGGCTATGACAATTTTCTTTTAAGATCATCACAACAGAAGTATATTTTATTTATAAGAAAGAAAGAGCCAATATACTTTTTTTTTTGTAGTATGTTTTATTCAGAAATTGATTCCTTTTAAAAAGGGAAGATTTGGGGAGATTGCCTATTCGAAAAAAGCTCTTTGCTATTTTGATGCAACCAACATATTCAATGTGAATTTAATTACTCAGCAAAAGCCTACATGAATTGTATTTTGATGTAAATTCAATCACAACTGCCAGTCAGGACTTGAAATACAAAGCATTAATGGTTCTATAGTAAAAAAGAAGAGCATCACTCAACATTTTTTAATATTATAGTGTAAAAAAATGAAGAGTCCAAATAGAGTAAATTCATCTAGATAACTGATAGGTTATGCATACAAAATACTGCAATCTCCTCATTAGTACAGAGAATTGCCAAATTCTCTCAACAATCTGTTAAAAATATGTTGTGTTCTCAGAAGTAATAAGAATAGTTATTTTAATAATTACTAACCAATGAAAGTTAAGTTTACTAAGGAAATAAAATGTTTATGCAAATCAGAAATGAAAGAGTTTATTTCAATCAAGACTTTGTCTTGGTGATTTGGGTTACTATTTAAGCCAATTCATTTCAGTATTAATTAATAAATTTATACATTTTTACATCCTAGGTAAATGCTTCTCCATTTTTAGTCTCAGTAAGATTTTTATATGAGAAAAGACAGCATGCTTGACAAGCCAGATTTAGTAACTGCAGAAGTAAAATTTCTTTTTACTTACATATTTAGTGATAAAGATGACTGTGACTAATTCCTGAACACCCATACTTAATATAACAAATATTTACTTTAATACCTTCATATGTTTAAGTCGATTGTCAACTGCTTTAAGATAAGAAAGATTTTCCAAAACTGCCAGTTCTTCTAATTCATCAATGTTGTTATTGCTGATATTCAATACAGACAAAGATTTCTGAAGGAAGAAAAGCAGAAAAAGCAATATTTTTTTTCATGCCATGTATGAGTCAAGTTGTAAATTATTACAGAAAATTATCTTAAAAGATGAACAAACATATGAAGAAGAAACATGCAAACACCACCTCCACACACCATACAGATTGTTTTATGTTGGAGTTCCACCATGTCCTAAAACGTAATTTATTTTGGTTTTGAAGTGAAACCAAAATAAGACTGTTTCTCAATTATTTCAGAAATTCTTAGTAAATACAGAAATTTTGGGGTTTTTAAAACACATTCAAATTCCTTACAGAGTTCTGCAAGTGCTACACACTTTTGAAGTATGAAACATACATTGAAACTGACTGCATTTTTATAGAATCATAAAATGGTTTGGGTTGAAAGGGACCTTAAAGATCATCTAGTTCCAGCCCCCTGCCATGGGCAGGGACACCTTCCACGAGACCAGGTTGTTCAGAGCTCCATCCAACCTGGCCTTGAACACTTCCAGGGATGGGGCATCCACAGCTTCTCTGTGCAGTCTGTTCCAGTGTCTCACCACAGTCACAAGCAGCGAATTTCTTCCTAATAGCTAATCTAAACCTGCCCTTGATCAGTTTCAGGCCATTATCCTGTGTCCTATCACAACACACCCTTGTAAAAAGTGCCTCTCCAGCTTTCTTATAAGCTCCCATTGGGTACTGGAATGGTGATATAAGGTGTCCTTGGAACCTTCTCTTCTCCAGGCTGAACAACCCCCACTCTCTCGGCCTATATTTACAGGAGAGGTGCTCCAGGCCTTTGATCCTCTCTGTGGCCCTCTCTGGACTTGCTCCAGCAGGTCCATGTCCTTCTTGTACTGTGGGCCCCAAGACTGCATCCGAACTGCAGAGCTGAAGCCCATATGTGCTACCCACACACTCTCATTTAACAGCTGGACTACACTGCTTTTCTCCCAGGCTTGATCCTACAAACTCTTGGTATCCATACCTCTGATCCTTACCCCTTCTCTGGAACACTACTGAGCCACATATTGCACTTTGCCATTTGTAACAGACACTAGTTATAGAGATCTTTACATTTTAGATAAAAATCTAAATGTGTTTTAGGTGTTTATCTCAGGAAATACTAATGTAGTTTCACATAAAAGGAAAAAGTTTATACCTCTAGAAAATGACAAGGGACTCCTAATCCAATGAGTTTAGAATTATACAATATATAAGACTTACCATTATTTGGAAATCTCTATTTCAGCAGTTTATACAGGAAAACTAACCCCCTTCAAAAATTTGACCAAGATCTACATTGCAGGCGGAAATTATCAGTATCATCCTGATAAACACTGCTCATAAACTTAATCTTCTCAGTCAGATTCATGACATTGTCATCATCCAAACATTTGCCTCTGGTACACACAGAGCTATATGGCTTCAGGATTTTATCTCTTTTATCTCTGACACCATTAAAAGAGCCAGAAACTGATTAAGAAGTAAAATGTGATGCATTAAAAAGATTCCAAACACTTAGCACTTAAAGGATAAAATAGAATATTTTTACATTTAGCCTCCACAAAGATGTTGCATAGTCAAGAATGCAAAGTTGTTTCACAGAAAACAAAACAAACCTCACATCAAAAGGCCTTAAATAAAATCTACACAGAACAAAATCTAGACCAGGCTGCTGAAAAACATGGAAGAATTTATTATACATTATTATCCTGGGAAGATTACAGCTGTAAAACTTCCCTTTACTTTGATAATTTCTCCAATATAGAAGGAACAAAGTTCAAATGCTCTCACAGTAATGACTAATTTCTATTAAAGAAAAACAGCAATGCATGTCTTGGATTACATAATCTCAAAGCAGGAAAAAAATAGAGCTAGGTCAAATATTTATGATATACATGTGAACAAAAGACTCACTTTTTAGTGAGTTTTTCATCTTCACAAAAAAAGGCTTATCAAGCCCTGACTACACTAGGGGAGATACAGCAAGAGGAATTTTTACAGTGCAGAACTACATCCATTAGCAAATAAATCCTACTTTTTAACCTCTTCAACTATATGTTTTATGAGCAATTAACATGTTGAAAGACAACTTCAAAGAGATTTCCTGAACTCTTGACATAACACAACATAGAAGAACTGCAGAACTAAACTGGAATGCTTTTGATTGTGTTGTTCTTAATATCCAGGAAGAAAAATCTGTTTGTGCCTTTTTTTCCATTCCCTTTTTCTACACAATACAAAAGGCAAAAAATAAACAACTATACCAATCAAATCACTGAAATATCAATAAACTAATTCACTACAAATGAAACAGACCAAGAAAATTAAGTGATAAATTCCAACCCCTTTTTTAGTTAATTCACATTCTGTTGGTATAGGGCATCCACATACATCCTTATTTCCTCTCTCTCTTGATTCTCATTTTCATCCTTCGTAATGAAAAAAAGATGAAGTAGAATTTGCTGGATGCCTTATAAGAGAAATAGGTTGGGAGTCTCTTGGCAGAATTTGAAATAATGCCACCAATTGGCAAAGGAGGAAAACACAGAATGATCAACTCCTAATAATTTCTCCTAAAAATACTGATCTCCTGATAATTGACTCATTTTAATTCTCAAAATATACTTACTGCCAGGGAGTTAAGAGATACTGGATCAAACAGGAGCTTTTCACCAACAGGAAGATGTTGACTTTCAATATGTAGCTCCCTCAGTTCTCCTACTTTATCTAAACCCTCTACTACAGTGATATAGTTGCCTCCTAAATACCTACAGAATAGAACACAAAATAGATTTAATATCCTTTGAAAGTAAGAGCAAACACAAGGCTTCAATATATGGACAAAAATATTTTCCAAGTATTATTGAATAATACTTGGAAATTATGATAGATAAAGTAAATAACCTAGCATACATTTAGAATACACACTTAACTGATTCAAGCAGGTTTTTGCAGATTTATCTACTGCTATTATTATTAATATTACTAGACTGAAAAAATAAAATAATTTAAATGCAAATATATATGTCAAGATGGTATGTCGTTACTTTTACCATAGAACATCTCATAAAAAAACAATAAGCAATTACTTTTATTTGAAAAGCAAAATTTAAGAGCTGAAAGGACTTTAATGGCTACATAATTAAAAAAAAAATTCTTAAGTGTCATAAATATTCATTTTACTAGTAAAATGAATACATTATTTTCAACTTACAATTTTTCAAGTTTTTTCAGCGATGAGAGATTTTCTATACTTGAAATACGATTGTTCTGAAGGTAAAGGTGCGTTATGTTTGAAGCAAAGTCCAAGTTCTGGATTTGGTTGATTTGGTTATCATATAAATACAGAACTCTCAGATTTTTACAGAAAGAGAGGTCACCCTGAAATAAACAATAACATGCTACTTAACGTTCAGTCACTGCCTGCTTCTGGAAGCTGTTGATTGCTCTCGTAATTAAGTTCTGATGCATGATTTATAAGTTTTCATCTTTAGTAAACATTTCTTAAAACTATTTTTCCTAGAAAACCAGAGTTATTATATACTGCCAGTTATCTACAGATTAAAGACTGAAATCTGGCATTACTATTTTGCCCTACAGAATCTGAGGACTACCAGCAGAATCTGAGGTATCACCAGCAAATACACCACATCCAGTGTGACTTCATTCCCGTCCCTGTCTTCATCAGGGATTCATCATCAGGTGAATCCATTCGTCAGATAGATTTCAGAAAAGCACAATTTTTTGTGTAGTTGTCTCCATTAAACTGCACTGATGTAACTGGAAACCAGTTCTTGGCAAAGGATTATTGGTTTTTACAAAACCTTGAACTTCAATCTGTTTTAGTACATTTCTGAACTCAAGTTTACACTCAAATGTTGAGCTTCTTTGAACATATTCCTATGAAACAACTAAAAGACCACTCCCCATGAAAGTTCCTGTAAAACTTTGCTGTGGCAGCTGATGAAGCAGACCTCATCAAATGGACTGATCCAGTTACTAACTCCCTATGGCTGTGCATAGGAGGGGGCTGAATTAACCCATGTGTTTGCAGGATCTGTTCACACAGAACAAGCAATTTCTTCTTGACTGAAATCACACTTTTAGAGCAAAAATTCACCACATTCAACAATGCAGTTGTTCAGGGCTCAGCAGTTTCAAAATTTACTCAGTATCTTGAGGGGATCTGAATTAACTCAGAACTTATTGAAACCTGCATACATTTCCTATTATTAAACTCAGAGGAAGGAGGACTGGGTTAAGTTTGCAGGTTTAGTCTTTGAAAATGAAAAGCTCGTGGATTATTTTTTAAATGAGTAAGCCCCAGGGAGCAATTGAAAAAAAAAAAGTATATTTTTAACTGGGCTAATTTGAAAAAGCCACTACACCAGTCCAAATTTGTTAACCTCAGTCGGGTTATTTCCTGTTCCTGAACTCTCCTTTCCTTTCTCAGACTTCCTCTGAAATTTAAGGAATAAATCACAGATAGATTGAAAAGATTGTGCTGTGAATTAACACATTTGTACAACTTGGCTTTCCTTGTTTGTCTCTCCAACAACACCTCATCATAACAGTAACTACAAAACATTAGAGTAGCCAGTTTAAAAGGAATAATAAAAATTAAATCTTACAATTGAATCTATATTTTTATCTGACAAATTCAGATGAGTTAATTTTTGCAGATATTGTCCAAAATCCTCTTCAGAACGATTCTTGTGACTGGCATTTTTAGCAATTAGGTCCATTGTTAGTCGAACCATGGTTCTGTAATAGGTCAAGCTGCTCTACTGCTTCTTTTAATACTGTATTCCACGTGCTCTTCTAAGTAGTATTACAGAATGCCTTAAAAACAAGAAGGAAAATGTTATACTACTTGTATCCCAGATCTTCAACAAAGCTTTCATGTGTACTTCAAATCTGACATATCCTCACCAATGTCTTTTTCATTTACAGTGATACTATGTTGCTTATAAAATCCTACCCCTTTTATTGCTGATATTTTATCAAGTTTTTGGTGTATTAATAAATATTTAAAACATTTTTTCTATTTGATTTGTTGATCCAGTTAGCTTAAGAATATTATATCCTAGTTTTTGTCTTTTTCAAGGAATATGAGCACAATGCTCCACAGCAGGCATAATTCTCACGCAGAGTAGTTAGTTAATGGAAGCTCATAATGTGATTATAAATCAGAAAATACAGGAGACTCTATAACAGGTTTTACAGGCTGTGAGAGGTGGTATTAAGCTACAGGACTCATTATATATCTGCACAGCACTTTTGTCATGCACACAACTGCATGTTCTGCACTGTCAAAAACTGTGAGTTTTTCCCACTAAGGCATACTATAGAGGCTCCCACAACAATACCAACTTTTTGCTTCCAAACTCTGGCTCATATAAGTGAGCTTTTAAACGACAGAATGGGGGAGAGGGAAGAAGGCAAACAGCTAATCTTGAACAGGATGCATAAACGATCTGGGGATAAAGACATACTGACTCAGAATAGAAAGGTCACCTACTTAGCCAGTAAATATACCAATGTATATTATGTATTATAGCTTAGACACAAAAGCCCCACAGTAGTGTATCAGAACAACTGAGGAGACAGCAAAAAGCATCCCAGTGCTAAACCTGGCACAGAGAATCCTGCCTGCCAGCATTACAATGAGGAGAAATTGAAGAAACGTCAAAATCGAGGCTGTGAAGGCAGAAGAAACTTCCTTTCTTAGTAAACAAATCTGAGGCTCGGTAGCTTTCCTTTATCCATATGGGATTTGCTTTTAACTTTTATTTTAAAAAGTAGGGATGAAGAAGAGCTGAAAGGACATTGTGAGTTGCCAGTTTTTCTACTGTGATTTTCTTGCTTTTTATATAAAAACACTTTTCAGAGCCCCTTCTCAGTCCTTCTTCCAAACCCAGCAGAATGAGCGAGTCGCCCAGCCCCTTCCTACCTACAGCCGCGCGCTTTCACACCGCCCTCCCCGTCCCGTGGCCCCGCCACCCACCGCCTCCCAGCACGGCCGGTGGGAGGGCGGCTCTGACGGCGGGCACGGGCCAAGATCCGCTCCAGGCGCTTTCCCGGGAGGAAGCGCCCCCGGCCCGGCTCCGGCTCCGCTCTCCCCTCAGCTCCCGGCCCGCGCGCGCCGCCGGGCCCTGGTTGCCGCGGCAACCGCAAGCCAACCGCCGGGGGGCGGGGCGCTCCGCTACAGGCTGCCGCGCGCGCCCCTCGGACCAATCAGCGCCGAGGAAAGAGAGAGAAGGGGCGGGGCTTTTTTCGCACGCGCGGCTTCGCCGGGGCTGGCCGGAGAGTATCCAGACTCGGAATGGGTTCAGTCAGGGTCGTCGGGTCCAGCTCCTGCACGGGGCGCCTCACAAGTTACACCTTGTCCTGAGTGCATTGCTCTGATGCTTCTTGAACTCTTGCTAGGCTTGGTGTTGTGACAGCTTCCCAAGAGAGCCTGTTCCAGGGCTCAACCACCCTCTGGTTGGAAAACCTTTTCTTGATAACCAACCTAATCCTCTTCTGACACAACTTCAGGCCATTCCCTTGAGTCCTGTCACTGGATGCCATAAAGAAGAGATCAGTGCATGAGCTAGCACTTTCCCTCATGAGGAAATTGTGAACTGCAATGAGGTGTCCCCTCAGTGTCCTCCCTGCTGAACAGAAAAGGTGGCCTCAGCCGCTCCTCATACAGCTTCCTCTCCAGGGCCTTCACTATTCTCCCTGCCCTCCTCTGGACCCTCTGTAAGAGCTTGATGTCATTTCTATATTGGGGTGCCCAAATCTGCACACAGGACTGTTGCAAAATGTGGATTTTGTAAACACCTTTTAAAGGATGTTCTTTCATGTTTGATCTTTGTATATTTTCAAGTCCAATCATCGAGAGAGGTTTAACTTGTGAAACAGCAGCTAACAAGCAAACTCTAATTAATAAGTAATATCTGTGATATCTGTGCTATCTAGAAGAACAAATTACTTGTTTGTAGAATTGCCTTGTTAAAGTTTGGGGCTTGACATGCTTCAACGATCTGAGACCGAGGGGGAGGTTAACAAAGCTTGGGAAAAAGGATCCCCGCTGATACTGGACACAAAGAATGCAGAATTTATGACCTACAAAGACATCTGGTAGAACTCTGAAGATAAGGGAATAACTAATAAAGTCAACTCAGCAACTGTGCTGAAAGCAGCTCCAACTGAGTGAAAGGTAATTCCAGCAGGGGGAGATCTGCAACTTCCAACTCAGAGACCGTTGACCCAAAAGAAGAGAAAGACTGGGCGTTGGACTAATTAGGATAAGAAGCAAGAGAATTGTTAGCCAGTAGTAGAATGTTAATTCATAAGAAAACTATGTAACTATTAGCCAATGAACACTAATTCCTTTATCTGCTAAACTGTATAAATTGTAAAACGTTTTGGTAGTCCGTGTGCTTGATTTGTGGAATTCCACCAGGCACCCTGGCTTGTGCAGTTTTGAAATAAATAGTCAATGTCCCTCTCAAGTGTGTTATTACTGGCTTGTTGTACACCGAGTAATAAATAAATTTTTGTGGACAACAGTACTGAAGGTGAGGCCGCCCCAGTGCAGAGCAGAGCGGGACAATCCCCTCCTTGCCTGATGCTGTGCCTGATGCACCCCAGGACATGGCTGGCCCTCTTGGCTGCTTGGGCACTGCTGACTCACATTCAGCTTTCTTCAGCCAGTATCCCTGGGTCTCTTTCTGCAGCATTGCTTTCCAGCCTCTCATTCCCAGTCTGTACATATATCCAGGGTAGCCCCATCCCAGGTGTAGAATCTAGAACTTGCCCTTGTTAAACTCCCTGCTGTTGCTGCCCAACTCTGTGATTTGGCTCAGAAGAAATCTTTGAAACCTGCTAATGCAAATGGACTTTGAACAACATCCCCCATACTGCCCACCCCTACAAAGAGCTCTTTGCCTTATTAATGTCTTAATGAGGCTATATGTCTTTAAATCTTGTTAACTAGCAGTTTTTCTGTTTGGTGTTGCCTCTTCTTCCTCCATGCTAGACTTTTCTTGCGAGCATAGATTACTGGCAAAACCAAGATCATATAGTACCTTTTCCTCATGCTTGAATTGGAGAAGTTCATAGTTTTATAATGGAGTGAATACTGAACTTAACAGCAAAGTTCTACAAAAAAGCCATGTTAGCAAATGTTTAATGAATTTTTTTTTATGGTGAAACATTATTCCAGTTTGGGTTGGTTGGTTGTTGGTTTTGTTTTGTTTAATCAATTATATCACACTTTTTCGTGCCTTTACAAAAGTCAACTAATTAGTTGCTGATGACACAAAAGTGGGAGGTGTGGCTGATACTCCAGTGAGTTGTGCTGCCAGGAGGAAGGACTTCAACAGGCCGGAGAAATGAGCCAAGGGGAGCTGAAAAAAGTTCCCCAAGGGAAAGTGCAAAGCCTGGCCCATGGGGAGGAACAGCCCCAGGTGCCAGCAAAGACCAGCTGGAAAGCAGCTTGAGAGCAAATGACATGGAGGTCCTGGTGGACATCAAAATGTCCAGTGTAGCAGCAAGGAAAGCAAATGGTGTCCTGGGCTGCCTTAGAGGAATATTGCCAATTGTAGAAGAAGATCCTACCCTTTTTATTCAGCGCTGGTGAGGCCGCACCTGCAGTGCTGGTGTCCAGCTCTGAGCTCTTCAGTGCAAGAGAGACAGGGACATACCAGAGAGAGACCAGCTAAGGGCTGTAAAGATGACTGAAGCATCTCTCTTTTAATGAGTAGTTGAGAGAGCTGGGACTGTCCAGTCTGGAGAAGAGAAGGCTCAGGGAGTTTGCTTCCAATGAAACCAAGATTATGACTTCTTTTCTCTTATAGGAAAAATGACACAAAATATTGTTAGGAACAAATATGTTTTATTGTGTAAAATATGTCTGAAATAACTTGCTCCAATTAATTTCAGTTTGGGTTTTATGTTGTCAAAGGTAGAAAATATAAGATTCACAAAAACATAGAGCAAATGGGGGAATGGGGGTTGCGGGGCGTGTCACTCATTCCTGCTTAGGGGAAGGTTCTTTACATTGTTGTCTGTTCCAGCATGAGCTTCCCACAGAGTCAAAGCCTCCTTCAGGCATATCCACAGATGTCTGTGTGCTCCACCACAGACTTTCATGGGCTGCAGGGCCACATCTTGACTCACCATGATCTTTGCTATGGACTGCAGGGAAATCTCTGCCCTGATGCCTGGATCTTCTCTTTCTCCTACTCCCCTTCCTTCTTCTCTGACCTGGGGTCTGCAGAGTTGTTTCTCTTCCCTATTCTCACTTCTATTTCCTAGCTGCTGGTGTTGCACAATTTTTTTTTCTCCCCCTTCTTAAATATGTTATCCTGAGGTGCTACTACCATCAGTGATGGCCTTGGCCTTGGCCAGTGGTGGGTCTGTCTTGGAGCTGGCTGGCATTGGCTCTGTCAGACATGAAGGGAACTTCTAGCAGCTTCTCACCTGGTATGAAGTAGCCACCTTGTATCCTACCCTGTTACCTGTCCTGCCAGGTGGGTCTGTCCTTTGAGGCTTTCAAGGCTCTGGCTGCCAGGGACAGCTGTGAGCTGCAGAGCCAGGGTAGGGCTGGGAGTGGGCTTTGGCCCTGTGACATCCTAGGGGATGGGTCACAATGGGGCTGGTTTTCAGGGCCTGGGTCAGAGGTAAGCACGTGAGGGGAGGCTGGGCTGGGCAAGACCGGGACAGAAATGTGGATTCTCACTCTGCATCAAGAGCCCAAGCCCCTGCCAGCAGCCTCACCCCTTCTCCTACCTGTTCCCAGCTCCGTACA